AAAGATTTCAAAAGTTTTCTAAAGTAAATAAAGGGCTGAAATCAGTCTCAAGTGTGTGTGTGGAGAGTGAAGGGGAGAAATACAAAATTCCCATGATAAAATACAGGATCTAATTTGAAAAAAAAAAAAAAAAAAGCTACACTTGCTAAAACTGTGGAGGACTTTTTGAAGTAAATCAGTGAGAGAAAGGGAGTTATACTTTTGGTTATAGATGCTCATTGTTGACATATCCATGTATGACGTAGACATATCTCCTTACCTTGTCCAGGTAAAGATCAATGGGCAATACAGAGATTTCAGGTTCTACTTAAGAAAAGAGTATGTGCTTTGAATCTACTCAAAATAAGTAAAAATAAGCAAGTTATGTAGCTTATTGGTTCTTTTTTGTTTTGAACAGATGCATAAGTATTTAAGAGTGAGCTAGGGAAACAAAATGAATTGCAAAAGTGAGCTTGAGAAATAGAATAAATAGCAAAAGTCAGTGCATTTCAAACGTAAAAAAATGCAAATGTAATGATACTTCTAATATTTAGGGGAGGGAGGAAGAGAGAGAGAGAGAGAGAGAGAGAGAGAGAGAGAGAGAGAGAGAGAGAATAATAATATTAGGAATAAAATTCTACCAATGACTAACCTTACAGATATTATACAATTCTTTGAATATATTTTGGCCATGAATTTACAACTGATATAGACATTTTTTTTAAGAAATAGAACATAGTAAAACTTCCACAAAATCAGGATAATCAAAAACCGTACTATTCCTCTATTGTAATCTGAATAACTAATCCTAAAATACCAATATGTAATATATTAACTAGTGTTAATTTCCTATTTTTAAAAATTCTGTATCATTTCATACTTTTTTGCTTTACTCTTTAAAATAAAATGAAAAAAAAAACACTGAATTTGTTATCCAACACATTTGCAAACATAAATCTCAAAACATTTCACACATTCATCTTATAAAGTATTGAAGAAATGAATAACAATCACAGGAACATCCCGTATAATAATTAGAAAGAAAGATAAATATGCAAATTTTTGGTTGAAAGAATGTGGTGTAGTACTATCTCATGATCAGGACCTAAAATTTGTCATGACTTTAAGTTGGATCTTACTTATACTAAATATTTCAAGCGGTTTTCATTAATAATACAGAAAAAATGGAAATACAAATTTGTGGAATCATGATGGGTATAACATTATGTATCTTAATTAACTTTTAATACTATATAGATTTTCATTTTGGTAGTCCACATGTAGATGTAAAATAATTCTAGGCATGTTACATGTGCTATACAGAATTTGTTTTTACTATAGTAAATTATGACATTCATATATATACATATTTTCCTATAAATTAAACAATGGAAGATACTCCATTTGCTAAATAAGCAATGGGTGGCTTTAATGTCATATATTATTGGATATGTCTGATTTTAGTCACACTTATAGTGCATAGATATATGAACTTTTTTTATTTTCATTGTAATTAATTTTTTAACTTCAAAAATGAAAATACATAGACATAACATACTACATTTTATCACACTTTTTGTTGCCAAATGAATTTGCCAAATAATGCATCAGGATTCTCCCAAGAACATGTTTGTCTAGTGACAGGGTCCCCTACATGTCACGCTGGCCTCACACATATGATCCTCTGCTAAATGACTAGAATTACAGGTATTGACCATCATGGCCAGCTAAACATTTGTGTTTATTTAGTTGAGCTTTGACTTAAATTTTGATGACTACTTGTTACATATTCCTTCTAGTCTCTATTTTAGGATCCATGAAGTTATATTTTATATATAGGGTGTTTTACATAAATTAAAAACCAGTGTGATTATCTAGCATCACATGAACTGATTCATCAAGAGCAATAAAAAAATGAGAAACATACCTTTGTATTGTACAAAATATTTCTGTAATATCTAGTGGGACTTTAACCATTGCCAACTTTAATGGCTCATTATTTTTATTTGGACATTGAGACATTTGCTCTGAAAAAAAAATCAATAAATAGCTACTAAATTAAGTTGCTAACTGCATGTGTTGCACTGTGTCACTGTGGAGATGAGACTTGTTTTACTCCTAGCCATCGAAAGCAGTGTCAAGTTTCTGCAATTAGCTAATCATCTCGATACTTAAGATCTGTGTGCATCTCACACACAGTTGGGGCATACACAAAAGAAAGCAGCACAAATTAGAAATCACAGCTTCAGTGGCTTCGTCCATTTGAATAATGAATTGAGAATGCTGCATAGATGTAGTTCTTCACAAGCTCAAGACACTTGACAAATTTCCAACAACCTTCAGAGAATCCAAATTGCAATATAATTATATATTACCACTGTCACTGTTATAATACAGAGCCATTGTAAATTCTAGGACAGCCTATCTCAATTATATGAAAAAAGTGAGCTGGGCTGAACTGACTGCAAGTTAGAAAGTGTATGTGGGCATGTGATATACTTTGAATTTTTTTAAGACAGAATCCTACACTATATACATCTCAGAAGCAGAAGTGATTTAATTGGGTCATAACTTGTGTTGATTCAATTTTTCTTTAAGACAAACAATGCATGTAAGAGGCTTCAGTGAGTGTGAAACCCCTGCAACCATATCAGTTAATTTTAGTTTTTAGGCACATCTGATCAGACTGGATTTTCTTATAGTGAAATCTGAATTTAGAATCCTTAACTCCTAACAGCTGCTCATCTGAATGATGAGTTCTATAATCTAGAATATTTCTCATCCATGAAACCCATGTCCTTAGATGATTAAAATTATATACGTTTTTTCTTGTATTACTTTTCATGCTTTAACAGCCTGTATCCTCCTCTGTTTAAAACACACACACACACACACACACACACACACACACACACACACACACACGATTTAAAGTATTTGGAATAGTTCTTGTTTTTCTGTTCACCTTTAGAAAGCCAATGTCAGTAAAATTTCTTCTCTGCGTTTGCTTTTCTTTTTCTTAAAAAAATTATTTATAGATACATTGCAAACTTTGATAAAAAGTCATATATAGCACTGCGTTGTCTAGAAGTCTTGATACATGTCATTACTGTCATGACTTTATCAGGTTTATAATGTTATATTTGTGCAAATAAATTGTCATATCAAATCTTCGTATTGCTCATTTATTTGATTATGAATGAACCATATTATTTCCAAACTTTATAGAAAAGGAAATGGAAGCAAAGAAAGATTTGAATTTAATTTATTTGATCTTATTTACACTTCACACTCAAAACAAAACATTAAAATCTAATGTAATATAATCCTACCTCTATGGTTGTACTAACTTGATGCTTGTACTAACTTGAATATATGTTTAATACTTTTAATTTTATTAACACAGTTGTGCTGGCTCATAATTGAAAAGATCTGCTCTCCAAAGCTCAGATCTACTTAAAATTGTGTGTAAGGAGTTATAACATTCTCAGGATAGATTATCCCAGTTTACTCAGGTTTCTCTGAGTCATTATCATATCTCTTGAATGTTATTTCTTTTCTATTTATTTCCTACCTTGTGAGTATGTCATTGCAATTTGATTGCAATTCTCTTGAGGCAGAAAAGCAGATTGAACATATTTTTATAAATGTTCAATAATTCTGTCCTTATTTACTACTGTTTCACCGCTCCAAGTAAGCAAACAGAAAACTTGCTTTTTGGCTAGTTAAATCTTGTCACAAGTTTTCTTATATCTCATCTTGTACAAATTTCACCTCCACTTTTCGATTTCTTCCTTCTCCTGTTTTAATTCTCTATAAGTCAACTACTAAAGACGTGTTTCCTATTTATATCATCTAAAGTTTCCACCTCAAACATTACTTCCATGATTAGTTTTCATCTCAGCACCTCCTTTGTGTCATTTATAAAAGCTTTTGATTCATATATGCTATTTTAAAATTTCATATTATATCTTTATTTAGAATGAAAATTACATGAGCTATATATTGGAACTTTCTTCAATGTAGTTTGAAGAAACCGTGTGTGTGTGTGTGTGTGTGTGTGTGTGTGTGTGTGTGTGTGTGTATCAGGGGGAATAAGTATTTCTATAATCTCTAGAACTACTCTAATGTTCCTTTAGCTATTGTCTGTATTTGTTTGGATGTATATTCCATCAGTACATACTTCCATTATCTTCAAGGGATAAAAATTCATTTTTCAGGGCCAGGAAATATTCAGTTCTTGAGTTGATGTTGCCATCTCATTTTCTATCTTCGGTTATTGCCACATCCTTTGTCAAACATATATTATTGCACTCGCACTGTAAGCATATGTGCATAGTTTCATGCTCCAGTAAATAACAAATGAGTATCTAGGAAATCACAGCATGTTTAAGAACCAGAAGTCAATTTAGTCTCATATTGAGACCTAAATCTTCTATGGTTTTGAGTATTATTGAAGTTAAATAGCGTTTATGAAAAAGCCATTTGATTAAATATCATGCCCTGAACATTACTATAAATGATTGAGCTTGAAATTCCTGTTCTGAGTTTCTAAACTGATGCAATAAATTTAACACTCCGAATGATTTAGGGATTTTATGTTTCTGATACAAACCATATTTGGCTTAATATATTAGAGAAAGGCAAAGAAATTCTGATCACAAGACCCTTTTGGGACAAATACAATAGGAATATACAAAGAAATCCTTCCCATCACAAAGAATATACAGTATAATAAATAACTTTCCACTTACTTTTTATGACATTTGGGTTATATGAGTCATTAGGTAAATTGATATTATCTTGTCTTGAGACAGGTTTTGCTGTGTAGCTCAGGCTGCCTTGAACTAGCAGTGGTCCTCTTGCCTCAATATCTCATGTGCTTAGATGGGAAGTGTTTGCCACCATGCACAGTGAAAACTAAAGTTGTATTAAAGGTATTTTGCACTGCATGTACGGGTGGGATGATAGCTGTGTGGCAAAGGCAAAGTCAGTAAAATAAACGAATAGAAAAAGTAAGAGTGATCACTTTGGCAGCACATACACTAATATTGGAATGATACAGAGAAGATCAGAATGGCCCTGCACAAGGATGACCCACAAACCCATGAAGTGTTCCATACATTTTCTGACATTAACAAATTGATCGATAATAAATTCTAGTGGAGCTGTGGGGAAAAAGGAACTTTTCTCCACTGTGTGTAGGAGTGTAGAATGGTACAATGACTTTGGAAATCACTATGGAGATTTCTTAAGAAACTAGGATTAGATATTCCATTTGATCCAGTTACCGCCCTTCTGTTTTTTCCCCCAGAAGAATTGAAAACATGATACAATAGTGATATATATGCACCCATGATTATCACAGCACAATTTGTAATCATCAAATCTTGGAAACAATCCAAATGCCCGTCAACTGATGAAAGGATGAAAATGGTGTGGTATTTTATATAATAGAGTACTAACCATAAAGAATGATCACATGGAGGCTTTCAGAGCTAAATGGATTCAACTAGAAACCATACTTTAAATTGAAATAAATCAGACTTGCATGTGTAAACCTCAAATTGTCTCACTAATGTAAAAACTGTGAAAGAGTAAAGTTACAATCCAGAAGTTACAATACATATAGTAAAAGGAAAAGAAATTGTTCAGAGGGAAATTTTATTGTTTGATAATCTTGCATGCCTATATTTGATAGCCTGAGCAATTACTTTGAGGATAACAATATGCAATATAACAACCATTGTTAAATTCCTATCATATTGCTTTGAAATCCTAAATTGCAATTATTTTATTGTTGTTGTTGCTGTTGCTGTTATCATCATTTCGCTTTTGTTGTTTTTAATTGTTTGCTTCTTGAGTTTTCTGGGTTTTTTCTATTTAAAATTTTTAAAATGTAAAAATTGAAAGTAACATAAAGTCTGAAAAAGAAAGAAAAGAAATTATTTAAGTGACAAGAGAGAAAAGCAGGGAACATAGCTCTTAAGAAAAGTATAAAGATGCTGTTTGAGTTGAATTTTAACATTTTCGTAATGTAGTTTTTTTTTTTTAATAAAGGTGCTTCATAAAATAGCTGTCAGTTGAATAAGTAACTCAAGGAATATAGTTTTGTTTCTATCAAAATTTCCTTCATGTAGTTTAAACACTCTTTCTGGCTACTTCTGAAAATATCACTTCCTTTTTTCTTAGCCTGACATAATTTTAAAATTAATTTTATGCTGACCATAACCACTGATTAAAACTTATGTAGTATTTATATTAATGACATACAACATTTAAAATTTTATCTTTCACAAATAATTTGTTAATTTCTTATAAGGATATTTTTTGAGAATCTGGTACCTCATCCTTTGGAAAATATGATTAATGTTTTCTGGCCTTGGATATAAGTAAGTAAAATATGACTACAGTCAGGTTTTTCACCCTGCAATGTTAGGATACAACCTGTCTGAATTATTAAATATTCTCAGTTTAATATTTAGTTACAAAGAGAATCTAATAATTATCAGTTTTAAGAATTTAAATACTCAATCTTTTCCCAAATTTATACAATCATACATTAAAGATGGGGATATTAATTTTTGGCCGAATATCATTCCATCAAAAATACTATATGTATGTATAAGACTAGGTGAAAAAATTCTATGATGCTGAACGGTGAATTTGAGATTGACTTTGAGACACATTTTCTTTTAGAGCTGTTACCTTGTTTATGACTGTATAAACTTAATTAGTGTGGATATAGCAATGTTAGTAAAAATTTCCTAAATTACCTTGCAAATGGCTTTAATATTTTTACTTCTACAACTTTTCTCATTTTTCCTCCTGGAATTATTTTATGTGTGCATGTGGATTATTCATATTGTTGAAGATACTCTAAGTCTATAATTTATGTAAGACATTAAAAGGCTGGTTTGAGTGACATCACAATCCTTTAAAGTAAGTAAATGTTGAGATATCAGTTGTGGGCATAGGAAATCTGAGAGCCTGATAGGTCCTTTGTTTACTCAGTGAAAAGGACAAAAGCAAAGAGAATTCTGTAGAATTTTCATCTCATTCTTCCTGTGGATCTTGGTCTTTTCTGTCGTGGCAGTGGCTCTACCTTTAGGATACAGGGAGGTTGGAGGACTCAGCGGACAGTGAGGTCACCCAAGAGAGTGGCACCCAACTGATACTGACACAGACGGAAACTGTGATGCCAGGAGTTGGTCACTGTTTAGCCTTTTCTCTTATTGCTCCAATTCTGCTTTCAAATGCCCTTGAAGACATCTTTATCCATGAGACTACAGCATATTTCAAAACATTTAAAATATTTTCAGTAATTAAAGTGGTTTTTTTTTTTTTTTTTTTTTTTTTTTTGTCAACAATTGCCTTTTATTTTAGTTTTTAGATCATCTGTAAAAATTGCTGGAACTAGTTGCTTTGTAATTCCACATCAGTTTGCGAATATCTACCCCAAAAAGATGTCCACAGGTATAAACATTTCAGAAGTGTCTCCTCAGGGCTTCAATTCACCTAGCTACTTTTTTTTTTTTTTTTTTTTTTTTTTGGAGCAAAGGCTTTATTCCAGGCCTGGCGACGAAGCCCCCTTAAGATGGAACCCAGAGACTACGCACCTAACAGACTAAGGAAGGGATTTTTAAAGCTAAAACAAACAAACAAACAAACAAAAACCCAAAGAGCTGTTAAACTGTTGACTTAGTTATGACAACATCTGGAAGCTGTAAAGCTGTTGACCTGGTTCTGATAACATCTGGAACTTTTGGTGCATTTCCTTACTCCCATCCTGCTTAAATATTATCTCAGAATAGCACACCTGCAATAACATGTGGAAAAAAGTTAGGGAGCTACAAGCAGCTGAGACTTAAGCTTTTAAAAGGATTAGAAACTTAACCCTGCTGGGGCGCTGCATACAGAACAAGATGGAGGCACATTGGTTAGATTAAGCTGTAACATTCCCCTCTGATGTTGTGACTGAGGACAAATCTTTGGCCTAATGTCATGGGTCCTGGGGAATAAGTTCATCATCTTATTCCCTTGCTGATGGATCATCATCGGGTTTATGTTCTGCATTTGTTATCTAATATATGCAGCTAGTTTATTGATTATACAAGGTCCCACTGAAATCATGAGTAGCAACCCTGGCAAATGGCTCTAGAAAGGGCAGAAGGTAAGGTAGAATTCCATTTTAGAAACTCCCACAGGGGTTTTTAAATAGCTCTCTCTTTTTTTTTAACCAGGTCGTCCCATAGTCTCTTGATTTTATCTCGAACAATGTCGGGCTTGTACACATAAAAACAGCATCCTTCTTGCAATGCCTCACAGATCCCTCCTTGTTCTGCTGTCAGGAGGTCTAGCCTTTTTTTTTTTTTTTTGAAGAACTAATTCAGCTAATGAATCTATTTGATCTTGAATGTCCTGAATGGTACTAGATTGAATGTCCTGAATGGTCCTGCACATCATTGACGACCTTGTTGGAAAGTTGAACAGAGACCCCCCACCCCTGCTGCCCCCATACCCAGGGCTCCTGATATTTCCAGACCCACCAATAAAGGGATAAATTGAACTGCTCTCTTTGAGCGGCCTGTAATGTAATCCAGGCTAGGAATGGAGACAGGCTCGTCCCCAGGTGAAACCTCTATGTCAGGCAACAGGACAGCTGTGACACATTTTCCTGACCAGTTGGTTGGGAGGAAAGTATGGGCCAGATTGCCTCCACAGATGAACACTTGTCCTTCGGCAGGACAAAGAGAGGTAGTCCAGTAAATTATAGAACTACAGTTAGCAAAAGCAAGGAACCCCACATCAATGTCAGAAGTATCATTATGAAAACTTCCTTGGAGACAGGGAGAGTCTTTAAACCCTACTGGCTGTACTCTAAACGGGAGACCAGCACTACAATTTAAGTGATCTGGTTCTTCTGTTGTGGTCACAGGGGCACTGGAGGGGATTGCAAGCAAGAGGCATGGGAGAGCCTTGTGCCATGCATAGTCAACGATCTTTAGCTAAAATCGGGTTGGAAGCATTTAAGGCCCTATAAGTGCCTCTAGAATTTTGGAAGTCTGAGCATCCAAATCAATTCCCCACGATTTATGCAGCATCAAGGGGTGGCAATGCACCTGGGGAAATGTTATCTCTATAATCTGTTTAACCCGTTCTTTAACCATGAGTTCTCTGGTCTTATCCTGTGGACTGCCTCCATCAGAGACATGTATTGGGGCCACCTTACTCTAGCATACTGGACTTACCAATCACGCCATTACATGAAGCTTGGGCATACTTTGAATTTATTGTAACTGTCGGAGTGACAGACCAGTCACCCTAGCCCTTTCAATACATGTCCTCAGAAGCTTAGCAGTGAAATAAGTCGTGGTCTCTTTTCCTGTGCATTACTGCACTGAGTCATAGCAGCAGGAATGCATTTCTGAATAATAGGGACAAACCTTAGGGCATGGCCCCAGTCGGCCACCTATTTTAGGTACCACATGATGTTTTTCTTTGCATTCCCACATTTGAGTTACTCCTATAGTGGCGGGCCTATCAACAAGAATGGCTATTTTGGTTCCTCAATTTGTGTGACTGGTCTGAACAATTCGCTCCCCATTACTAGCATGAAATTGGCCTCCTCTACAATCACAAGGACTCACATACAAAGATTTTTAACAGCTGGTCTTGATTTACAGGAGGTCCGAACCTGCCACGTGAGGTGGCAGGGCTATGGAAGTCCCCAGTAGTGGAATAGAAAGGGCAAAGACAAGCAAACTAAAGCAGTACATACCTGATGCAATCTAACTAAGTCTAGTCAATTTTAACTTTAAGGGGTTACCATTCTGCTGTATGGTCCATTGGGGTGTGGCCCTCATTGTCTGCTGTTTCCAGTGGTTTATGTGGGTATGGTAAATCTACAGACTGCAGTGGGGGCATTGAGCACCATGGTGAAAGATCCTTCCCAGCAGGATTTGAGGGAGTCTCGATGATGGCATTGCACCAAGACTGAAGTTTCCGGCTAGATGGGTGTCTTTAATGCTGTCTAGGGAGGCAGGTCTGGGTGTTTTTGTCTAAACATTGAGGAGATGGAGGTCAGCACAGGCTGGAGTGCCTGCAGGGACTTAATGAGATCTTGG